TATCCTTCCTCAACTTTGCATCATCCTCACCACTTGCCTACCCACTTATTTTTGAGTCAGCCGCCAACTTGACGATAGTACATTCACTTCCCTCATCCAAGTCATTAATACAGATTGAAAATAAAAGTGTGGCACCAGCACCAATCCCTGTGGCACTCCATTAGCTACAGGTTACCATCCTGAAAATGCATCTCTTACCCAGTCAATTCTCTACCCATGCCAATATAACATCCCCAACACCATGGGCTCTTGTCTTATTAAGTCCTAATATATGATAATAACCTAACAAACACCTTTCAAAAATCCAAATATATTACATCTACTTGTTCCCATTTATCTATCATGCGTGTCACCTCCTCAAAGAATTCCAATAAGTTTGTCAAGTACGTCTTCGCCTTTATGAAGCCATGTTGACCCTGCTTGATTATAGGATACATTTCTAAATACATCCTTTATAATAGACTCTAACATTTTCCCAATAACAAATGTCAAGTTAACTGGACTATGGTCATATGTTTTTTGTCTCCTTCCCTTTTTGTTTATTGCTGTTACATTGGCAGTTCTCCAATCCTCCAGTACGGGGTGGGAGGGTAAGCTGTGAGGAGGATGCAGAAATGCTTCAATGTGATTTAGATAAGCTGAGTGAGTGGGGAAATGCATGACATCGGTGGATAATGTGGATAGAGGCGAGGTAATCCACTTTGGTAGCAAAAACAGGAAGGCACGATATTTTCTGAATGGCTATAAATTGAGAGGAGTGAATGTGCGATGAGACATGGGTACACCAGTCTCTGAATCTTAGCATGTAGTGCAGCAGTCGGCAAAGGAGGCAACTGGTAGATTAGCTTTCATAGTGAGAGGATTTGAGTATAGGAGCGAGCATCTCATGCTGCAATTGTACAGAGCCTTGCTGACACTATACCTGAAACTTTGTGTGCAGTCTTGATCTCTTTATCTGAAGAAAGATGTCCTTGCTATTAGGAGAGCACTAAAAAGTTTACCAGATCCCTGGGATGGCGGGACAGATGTATGAGGAGAGACTGGATCAGTTAAGGACTAAAAATCACTGCAGTTTAGAAGAATGAAGGGAGATCTCATAGAAACTGCACTACATGCTTACGTTCAGAGACTAGTGTACCCATGTTTCATTGCACATTCTCTCCTCTCAATTTATAGCCGTTCAAATAAAATCGTGCCTTCCTGTTTTTGCTACCGAAGTGGATTACCTCGCATTTATCTACACTATCCAGTTCCCAGTTCTGGACTCCCCAGGCTCCAGGGGTCACTGCTCTAAGGATACAAGGCAGGCAATTTAGGACTGAGATAAGGAGAAATTCCTTCACCCAGAGAGTGGTGAGCCAGTGAAATCCTCTGCCACAGAAAGAAGTGGAGACAAAAACATTGTATGATTTCAAGAAAGAGTTGGAAATAGCACTTGGGGCTAAAGGATATGGGGAAATACAGGAACAGGGTATTGATTTGGATGATCAGCCATGATCATAATGAATAGCACAGCGGGATCGAAAGGCTGAATGGCCTACTTCCCTCTCTTACTTCCAATGCTTTCTCCAGATTTTAAGGATTTTTGAAATATTACTAACAGTGCATCCACTAATTAAGAAGCTACTTCCTTGAATAGCCTAGGATACAGTCCATCAGGTCCAGGAGACTTACTGGATTTTAGCCACATTGATTTCTCCAGTAAATTTGGATGCAGCTTATTTCTTTCTGGACTACTCTTTACTTTCAGAAATTGAAAAATTCTGTCAAATCACTCCTGAATCTGCTAATCAAAAGACAAAGAGGAGGTTGATAATTCTGTGCCACTTTTTAACTAGGATTCAAATCTCCATCAATAATTGTGTGGGGCGTTTTGCAATAACAAGATGAGGCAACAAGTAATCTTCTGAGATTAAAAATAAATTAGTAAATCTTATCCTCCAGCTCCAGATTTTAATTCAAACAAGACAAACATGACTGGATGTAGAATGTACCATGTGCACACTAACATGAAATGAGATAAACAGAAATTGCTGAAAATACTCAAGTGAATCGAGCAGTGTCTGTTCAGAAAGAAAAGGATTAATGCTGCAAGTCTGTAACCTCTCACCTGAGCTGGAAAATTGAAGTAACAAATTGATGTAGCAAATTTTGAACAAATAGAGGAGCAAGGAAGGTGGTAATGTTTGGGGGAAGAAAAAGAGAACATAAGGGAAGGTCTGTGATAGGCTGGAAGTCAGGAAAGATTAAATGACAGAAGGAATGATGATGGTGCAATGCAAAGGAGATGGTACTGGGACAAGAACCAAAAGGTGAGTCTGGAGGAGAGGGAAAAAGCAGAATCATTACTAGCACTGCTGTCTGAAAAGAAAAGGGACAATGATGATCAAAAATTGCTGATCTCACTGGTGAGTTTGGAAGTTTGTTAAAGATATGCCATTATAAATGATTTGTCCCACTCCCATTCCAGCCACAGCCTCCCTCCCACACTGATCCAAACAAAGGAGGTTAGAGAAGATTGAGGAACACACTTATTACTTGATTAGTCACTTTGACATTAGTCTTCCAGATTCAACATTTTAATTCACGATATTCACGTCACAAGCTCTGCCGGAGGTTGTTTCAGACAGCTGTTGGTAATGATTTTGCTTTTTACCATTTACACCTTCCTTGGATTTGTCTTTTGTTTCTTCTCTTGTCCCATTTTGCTTTACATTATCTTCCCTTCTTGGATTTAAATATCCTGCCCGTCTCCATATCACAGATCTCCCATTTGCTCTGTCCTACCTTTCTCTAAATATGTACTTACTGAAAAGCTGCAAAATGTTTTTAACATTTCAATTAAAGGTCACTAGCCTGAAGCATTAACTCAATTTCTCAGCTGAGAAACTGTCTGACCTGCTCAGTATTTCCAGAATTTTCTGATTTTGTTACAGATCGTCAGTATCTGCAGTATTTTGTATTAAGTTTAAGGGGACAACAAATACTGCAGCAACATATCTGCAAAGTGTAGGAAACGTATGGCAAGTGTTGCAGGAATAAGGGTAAGACTAATGCTGTCAGAAAGATGTTTGATGATATTTTACATCAAACTGAAATATGAACTTTCCCTTCTCTGTCCATGCTACTGGGCCTACTGGATGTTTGCAAGCTCTGCTTTATAGTGGAGAGAGGAATTTGGTACAAATGCTTGTACAGAACACAACAGTTTTCACATTAACTTACTTGCCTGGAATGCAATAAAATTATTTACGTGGATTGTGGACAAATTGTACAAGGAACAAACCATGGATTTCATATCTGGGTTTGATGTTAAGGTAGTACTAACTAAAACAACTGAAATATAACTAAATATTATACTGTGTGTTCATACCTTGGACGTTTAATTTTATTTCTCCAAACACTGGTTATAGTAGCATCTCTATCCCTATCAATATCATCTTTACCGCAGCAGAATGAAACTGGATCCATTCAAACAAAAGTGAGATGTCTGGAAGTACTTCTTCAGACAAAGGCCAGGTAGATCTGGAGCGCTCTCTCCCCAAAAAAATATTGTCCTTGAACCCTTGAAAGTGATATCCTCATTCTCCAGCACTGCAATGCTCTCCTTAAACAAAACTGTCATTCTCCACACCTTGCTTTCATTTCCTATCTTATGGTGCCTAGGACTATTGAACAGTCACTCACACCTTTCCTTGAACTTGTTCTCTTATCACCACAATGTCATATTTACACCAGGGTTCTAACTGAAGGAAACAGTTGTAGGTGATAATTGGTCACAACCTGTTCCTATAATATTTAGCACCCAAACACTATTATTTAGCTTTACACTGGCCCAAAAGAAGGCTGTCTTTACTAATAAACTTTGAGTAGTTCTTCAAACCATGTGTGACATGGTTTTAAAAGTTTTGATTTGGAATGATCAGCAACAACCCTTCACTTACAAGTTATTTCAACTTTACAGTGAAATCAAATTTTGGCAAGTTAACCAGCAGGCTCCTGTAATTAATGTTTCCATGATTCTTTATGTCAGTCTTTGCTCAAGTTCAAGACTGGAATTTGTGTATAAAGTACCAGACTGTCCGCAATGCAGTGGTGAATGGCAATCTGACTCTCTGTCTCGTAGTTATAAGAGGCGATTTTTTGAAGCCATGCTCCTGACCCTCAGGAGAATACTAGACAGAGAAGAATATTGGACATGCAAGGGATTCGATCCCAAGGACATTCACTGTTTTGTTTGGGTTTCATGCTCACAGACAGCTAACATGTCAGGAGCACATGGTCCCAAAATGCCCAAACCATTGTATTCATTGACCAGTCCTACATATTATTAAATTCTCTAATATATTGTCCATTATCAGTGTATCCGGCTGAAGCATAGTCAGAACGACTGCAAACTGAGACAGGTATAAGTTTAAACTGATCCGCACACAGAGGGGACTAAATTTGACACAGTCAGAGCTAAATGTTGAATAGGCAGGCACATGGTAAAAAAATTAATGAGCTATCAGATCTGGGCTGCGCACTGAGTTTTAATCTCCGGATCTAGTCAGATACATTAGAATGATCATTTCCACTCCTCTGCATACCCACATCTGCCTTTATCATTAGAAAGATGACATTCTGAAACTTCAAAATCCAACACAAACTTTATCCTGTATTCAACACCAAATCTGATTTTAAAATCTTAATTAAGTTTAACTTTAATCTAATGCAATAGGGAGAGATCAAAGAATTCTGGGGTAGATTGATTTTTATTTCTAAAGGATTTAATACTTTAAAGGATGTTGCTCTCTCTCGGTATTCACTAGAAGAAAAGTGAATTGAAGTTATTTTTAAGTATGTAAATTGAGCTATTAAACCAACCATACTATTTTGGAAATCCTTCAAAATAATATAATAAAATTTTCAATGATCAAAAAATCTAAACCCCTTTAATCCGATTCAAATATTTTCCAATAACTGCTCGCTTTATGGACTACAGCTGCTTTATCACTTACTTGAGTTCAGAGTTTGGCGAGTTTTGGCACTAGTGCAGTACGCTTCAATAACTTTTAAGATCTGTGTGTCCTCTTCAAGAGCTGCTGTGCCTGATTAATAAGAACAAAAAACCTCCTAAACACATAGTCACAAAAAGTTAATGCAAAAGCAAAACATTGTTTTTTATACATATAAATGTCAAAAATACTCAGCAAACCCTGCACTTTTTTTTCCACCACAAAAGGCTGATGCTTTCAAAAGAAAATCAATATTTTGCAAAGTAAAAGTCCTGATTTGTTTGGGTCTGTGATGATTCACCTCATCAAAATTTTTAAAATTAAAGATAAATTCTTAGCCAACACCACCTCACAGAGGTCAAGTGCAAAAATCAGGCTTTTGCTTTAGATTATAACGTCATAAAGTGATACAGAATGGAAAGAAACTCTTCAGTCCAAGGCCATCAATATTCCCAAACTAAACTTGACCCACTTGCCTGCATTTGGCCATGTCCGTCCAAATCTTTCCTATTCATGTACTTATGCAAATATCTTTTAAAAATTGTAACCGTACCTGAACCACCAAACAGTCATTGAGCTGTACAGCATGGAAACAGACCCTTCGGTCCAACACGTCCATGCCGGCCAGATATCTTAAATTATTCTAGACCCATTTGCCAGCATTTGGCCTATATCCATCTAAACCCTTCCTATTCATATACCCATCCAGATGCCTTTTAAATGGTATAATTGTACCAGCCTCCACCACTTCCTCTGGCAACTTATTCCATACACGCACCACCCTCTGTGTGAAATAAATGCCCCTTACGTCCCTTTTAAACCTTTCTCCTCTCACCTTAAACCTATACCCTTTAGTTTTGGACTCCCCTACTCTATCCATGCCCCTCATGATTTTATAAACTTCCCCTGGCAATTCATTTCACACACGAACCACTCTCTGTATAACAAAGTTGCCCCTTGTGTCGTTTTTTTAAATCTTTCTCCTCTCATCTTAAAAATATGCCCACCCTAGGAAAAGGCCCTTGCTATTCACCTTATCTATGCTCCTTGTGATTTTATAAAGTTCTATAAGGTTACCCCTCAATCTTCTATGCTGCACTGAGAAAAGTCCCAGACTTTCCAGCCTAGTTTTATAATTCAAACTCTATTCCTGGCAACATCATGGTAAATCTTTTCTGAACCCTCCCCAATTTAGTAATATCATTCCTATAGTTGAGCGACCAGAACTGGACACAGTACTCCAGAAAAGGTCTCATCTGCATCCTGTACAATCTCAACATGATGTCTCAACTGCTATACTCAAAAATCTGAGCAATGAAGGCAAGTGTGCTAAATGCCTTCTTAACCATCCTGTCTACTTGTGACGCAAATTTCAAAGAATTATGTACCTGAAGCCCTCGGCCTCTCTGTTCTACAACACTACCCAGGGCCCTACAATTACCTGTGTAAGTCCTGCCCTTGTTTGTTTTACCAAACCTTGCATTTATCCAAATTAATTTGGGTTTACAACTCGGACACCATTTGTCCCAGCTTGCTAACCAAAAAATGACAGAGGCTTAATATTTAAACAAACTACACACTAATAAATGCTGCAATGACTTTGAGTAACAGAACCTACAACGGGTGCAATCCGATCTCATTACTTGGAGTAACCTTCCTTTCTCAAAAACCTACTGGTCTTTTTCCAACTGTTCATCTACAATTGGTTATCAGCAATTTTTAAAAAAAATCTAATGTCAGTGGATTGAGCCGGAAAATGTGAAAGTAACAAAGGATATCAATAAAGACAGAACTGAGACAATAACTCAATGCTATACATACTTTTCCTTAATGCAAATTCTTCATCAGATGCTTTCCTTTCTGGTTTCCGCTTGGGAAGCAGTTTCTTCATGGTTTTAGGACTCTTGCTGAGGTCCTGCACAAAAGACCAGAAAATACTGTCATAATAGCAGATTGCGTGCTGCACTGTTTAAGAGTTTGAGGACAACTAGATGCACTGAAAGGGGATGAGACTGAAGGATCATTACTAGAAACTGAGAATCATCTGTGTCAAAGGACCAGCCCAGTCTGGGGCTGTCATTGACATATTCATGTTTAGTAATACGTTATCATCACTAGGAAGCTTTTATCATACATCAGTTACAAATAACCTAATATTGCAAAAGCATATGAGCTGGCTGGAGTGAGATCTATGGCAAATCATGCATCAGGATTTTACAAAAGTGAAGACCAACCTCCTTATAACACAGAGCAGCTGATGGTTTCAGCGGGGCTGCTGGGCGAAGGCAGCTCAGACTCCAAGGTTTTGGCATTTTGGGTGGTTCTAGGGGTCCCCAGGTCAGCGAGCTGTGTGATGTCCCATGTAAGGAAGGGTGTGGAAGGGTATGATATGAAGGAGTCACAGATATTGGATAGCCATCAGAATGCTTATTGATGGGTGTCACAGGATGTAGTGGAAGCTGCAGACAGAATAGAAAAAGCGAGTTATTAGTGAACCAAATGCTTCAGTTCCAGACAATGAAAGCCTTGCTCTTTTTCACTCCCATGTTCCAATTGTTGTTTGTTCAAGTACCTCTGCTCAAATTCACCAAGCCTGCTTTGACAGCACTTTTCAACATTATGACTAATTCAGCCTTGAAGGACAATGGCATCAGATTCATGGGAACACCATCACTGCAAGTTCCCCTCCAAGCCATGCATTATCCCGATTCGGAGATGTATCGCCGTTGCTGCTGAGTCAAAATCCTGGAACTCCCTCCTTAATTGCAGTGTGTCTAACTATACATATGGACTGCAGCAATTCAAAAATGCAGCACATCACCACCTTCTCAAGGGTAACAATGGCTTGGGCAACAATTGCTGGTCCAGCCAGTGATGACCATATCCCAGGAATAAATAATAAAAAAATGATCTAGGACAAGAGGGCATAGCCTCAAGATTAGAGGGAGCAGATTTAGGACTGAATTGAGAAGGAACTTCTTCACCCAGGGGGTTGTTAATCTATGGAATTCCTTGCCCAGTGAAGTAGTTGACGCTACTTCAGTAAACGTTTTTAAAGATAAGGTAGATTTTTTTTGAACAATAAAGGAATTAAGGGATACGGTGAGAACGCGGGTAAGTGGATCTGAGTCCACGAAAAGATCAGCCATGATCTTATTGAATGGCGGAGCAGGCTCGAAGGGCCGGACGGCCTACTCCTGCTCCTAGTTCTTATGTTCTTATGATCTGGCCACAAACCCTCAGGCAAAGTAAAGCCAATGGACCCACCCAGATGGGTAAAGAGGCAGAGACTGAAGCATTGACTGAGGTATGGCAGCGTGGAGGTCAAAGCCAGACCTTTTGGACTGTTTTTTGAAGAGGTGAGTGGTACAGGGCTGAGCCCCAACCAATGGAAAGGGCTGGTTGTAGGATGGTGCTCTGACCCAAGCGGAGAAAAACACTTTTCAATCGTGGTAAAAGCAAGAAGAGAAATGGTTTCCATTTCACGACGCCTTTCACAATCCGAGGGCGTCTCAAAGCTTTTGGTCATACAGAACCAATGAAATGCTTTTCAAATGCTGTCTCTGTTGTTATGTAGAAAACACCATAGCCAATTTAGGCAGAGCATGATCCCAAAACAACAATAAGAAAATTGATCAGACAATCTGATTTTATTGATGGTTGTTGAGATATGAACATTGGCCAGGGTACCGGTGAGAATATCTAAACATCTGGAGGCCATTTTGCTCCTCAAATCTGTTCCACCAATCAGCAAGGCCATGCATGACCCTCTGTTTTAATTAATACGTACTCATCATTGCTCCATAATCTTTAATGTCCAACTAAAATCTACCAATTTCAATTGACACCCATACAATCATAGGATCCCTATAGTATGGAAGCAGGCCTTTCAGCCCATTGAGTCCACAGCAACCCTCTAAAGAACATGCCTCCCAGACCCACCCCCCTACCCTAACCCTGTAACCCTGTAACCCTGCATTTCCCATGGCTAATCCACCTATCCTTCACATCCCTGGACACTATGGGTAAATTAGCATGGCCAATCCACCTAACCTGCACATCTTTGGACTGCGGAAGGTAACTGGAACACTCAAAGAAAACTCACACAAATATAAGGAGAATGTGCAAACTCCACACACACAGTCGCCTGAGGATGGAGCTGAACCCAGGTCTCTGACGCTGTGAGCAAATGCTAACCACTAAGCCACCCCCACCCAGTCTCAACAGCTTTTGTGCAAGAAAGCATTCCAGATTTGCATGACCTTTGTCTATGGCCGACATTTAAAATTCAGTGTTCACATATAAAACCAGCCAATGAATCCGTCCCCAGTATCGAAACCAACCCAATGATTATTTCAATTAATTTCCACACCATGACCCTTGACATTCCAGTCATAGTGCAATACTGGATTATTCCTGCTCAGCCCTCTCCGTATCACAAACAGCTGTCGTACTGCACTCAAGTATAGTTTTAAAGGAGAATATGGACATGAACCAATTCCACCGGCATTACTAAATATCCCTAGATCATCATCACATTTGGTTGTCTCTTTCTCTTACTGTATGGCATGGGACAGACTGCTGTCTGACCACAGGAATTCCCACACTGGGTGTTTTCGTTTGTTTCTGAAGATGCTCCACCCATTCCTGCAAATCCTGATGAGTGGAACAAGTCACCAAAATCCGTTCAATCATACTTCCTACAGAGAGAGTGCACAAGGTGAGATAAGTCAACTGTTCTGATGTGGCAGTCTATCATATTTCCTCACAATACAATTAAAAAGACAATGTTTTACAAAGCAAGTTACCTTTATCGCTGATACCCAATCTTAACTGTTCTATTTTGAGGGTCAATTAGCTGTTCCAGGTTAGCCCTGACAGCCTGATGGAGCTCAAATCATGGGACTTATAAATTGCACAGGAAGGACAAGGATAGAAGATGCATGGGAATACCATGGACATGGTTTCCTCCCGACTTAGAATTACACCACCATTCCTTCACTGTCAAAACTACTGGATCAAAATCCTGGAATTCCCTTCCTAATAGTACCAGGGATGTAGCAACACCACATGGACTCCTGTAGGTTAGGAGACAGTTCACTACCATCTTCTCAACAGCAACTAGGCATGCGGCATAGGTACTGGACTTGGCAGTTATGCCCAAGGATTAATGTATTAAAATAAAATACATGCTTAATAAACTGGCTGATCACTGACCTACAGTATTTAAAGGTCGGCATCTAACGGTAATTCAATGAGGTCAATCTTCAAGGGTATGGAATGGAAAACTGACCTCTTCAGGTGTTATAGCCTAATCACCGACCCAAGACCCCAAACTCCACATTAGGAAGGTGGTCTCACTGAATTGTACTCGATCCAATCCCATGGCAATATTTAACTGGTAGCTTTAACAAACAACTTTCACTAAGACTCAAAAAACTTTACACATCAAAAATCAGGTCTCTTGAAATTTCATTTGTAACTTGAAATGATGAGGAAAAAACCTAAAATAAACAAGGAAGGAAGAGCTCATGAACCCACTGCATTTTTTTGCAAAGTGCTTTGAAACTCTCTGCATTGCCTCAGGACATTGCTATAAGAATCATTCACCCTGCCTCCTAAGATTAGTGGCAACAAGGTGCAGGGCTGGATGAACACAGCAGGCCAAGCAGCATCAGAGGAGCAGGAAGGCTGACGTTTCGGGCCTAGACCCTTCATCAGAAATGGGGGAGGGGAAGGGGGTTCTGAAATAAATAGGGAGAGAGGGGGAGGCGGATAGAAGATGGATAGAGGAGAGGATAGGTAGAGAGGAAACAAACAGGTCGAAGAGGCGGGGATGGAGCCAGTAAAGGTGAGTGTAGGTGGGGAGTTAGGGAGGGATAGGTCAGTCCAGGGAGGATCTGGTTCCGTAGGCAGGTGCTAAGAAAGGTGATGTGGCTGTAGTACCTGGTTTGCTTCAGGACATGGTCGAGCAGTTTCAGGGCCGAAGAGATTACGAGAGAGTTGCAGTGGGAGAGAGATCCCCTGCGGTTTGTCCGGAGGGAGGAGGGTAACTTCTTCAGGCTAGGCATCCTTAGAAGAGGCTTTAGGAGTTTCACTTTTACAGTGGATTCCCTGCACTGTTTGTAAACTTCTGTTAGGATGACTGGGTTGAAAAATAAACCCTGAATTAAATTAATAACTCACCAGTAATTTCAAAGGTGTTCTTGTCAGTATCGCTATCATCTAGCCTGGTGACAATCAATCCTGTTAATGGCAACTTTCCCTACAAACAAGATAATGTTGGTATCACTATTTAAGTTGCAAGCATACAGCAGCATTGTCTTGAGTAATTCATATTGGTAACATCTGTAATCTATGATGATTACACCTATAACTTGTAGCAACAAATTTTATTTATATAGCACCTATAATAGAATAAAAAGTGCAATAAGCTTCATGGGGAGATTTTAAAACATGAGGTTGTTGACTTGCTCACCGAGCTGTCTTGTTCCCATTCAGACATTTCGTCACCGTGCTAGGTGACATCATCAGTGGAGCCTCCAATGAAGCGATGTTATTCTACTCCACTTGGAATTTATACTGTCCGGTCCGTTATGACACTATTCACCATAACAGACCAAACAGTATAAATTCCCAGTGGAGTAGAACAACATCGCTTCATCAGAGGCTCCACTGATGATGTCACCTAGCATGGTGACGAAACGTCTGAACAAAAACAAGCCAGCTCGGCAAACAAGTCAACAACCTCATCCACAACCCGAGCTACAGATCTTTGCCAAAACTTCAGATTATAAAACAAACTTGACATTGAAACATAAAGAGATATTGGAGAAAATTGACAAATATTTGATCAAAGAAATATGTTTTAAGGAGTGTCTTAAATGACAAAAGAGAGATGGAGAGGTTTAGGTAAGGTATTTCAGAGCTCAGGCCGTAAGAACATTAAAAAAAGGAGCTGGAGTAAACTACATGGTCCCTTGGGTCCGCTCCACCGTTCAATATGATGATGACTGATGTTGGCCACTGTTCAATTTTCCTGCGTACTCCACATAACCTTTGATTCACTGACAGACCAAACATACATCCATTCCAGCCCTCAAAGGAATCAATGGTGGAGCATTCACAATTCTCTGGCTACAGAATTTCTCTGATTCACAATGCTCCAAGACTGAAGTATTTTCTCATCATTTTAGTTCTAAATAATTGGCCTCATTATAAAACTGTGTCCCACGTGTTAGATTCTCCAATCAGCTAAAGCAACCTTTCAATCAAGCACCTTCAGCATCTTGCATTTCACAATGAGGTCAACTTTTATTCCTCTAAATCCCAGAAATTATAGGCTCAATTTCCTCAGACCTTTAACTTTACTGTGGTAATTGTAATGAGGTCAGCCAGGTGGACCTCATAGAATACCAGTTCCCTGATTGGGGCTGCTAACCTGGTCCAATCAGGGAGCCCTGGCTGACAGGTATAAACAGGGGTGTCAGAGGTTCTGTTCACTCGGAGAGCCGGCTCCGAGGAAGCCAGGCCAGTATCAATTACAATACATGTGTAAATAAAAGGTGACTTGGTGGTGGGATACTGGCGTCCATGGAGTTATTTCACATATACTATTTCAAATGTGGTCTCATCAAAAGCCTGTACAATTGTAGCAAGGTTTCTTTATTTCTCCAATCTTTTTTGCAATAAAGTCCAATGTGTGAATTGCCTTGCTAATTGCTTGCTGCATCGGGATGCTGACTTTCTACATTCAATATACAAGCACACCAAATTCTCTTTGAACATGAATATTTATAATCTTTACAAAAAACATATTGCTTTCCTATTACAACAAAAGAGAATAATTTCACAATGCCCTCCATTATATTATATTTGCTATCTTCATGCCAACTCAGTTAACGTCTATTTTTCTTTATTCCCTCTGTGTCTTCCTACAGTTTACCTTACCATCTAGCTTTGTTATTAGAAACCTTAGATACGTTACTCTCTTCATTCAAGTTAACATAGATTGTAAGTTGCTGGGTCCCATACCCTTGCAGCTTTCCAATATTCACAGACTGAAAACTTGAAAGCATCCACTTCATATCCCCCTCAGAGATAACAAGAACTGCCAATGCTGGAGTCTGAGATAACACAGTGTGGAGCTGGAGGAACACAGCAGGCCAGGCAGCATCAGAGGAGCAGGAAAGTTGACAATTTGATTCAGGACCCTTCTTCAGAATATCCCCACTCTGTTTCCTGACAGTTAACCAATCCTCTGTCCTTGCTAATATTTTATCACCAATAAGGTCTTATCTTGCCTATTAACATTTTACGTGGTATCTTATCAAATGCCTTTTGGAAATCAAGGTGTTCTGGATCTACATCCTCCTTTATCTCCTTCCCGACTCTCAGTCACATCCAACTATCCCTGACTGTTGACTATCTATAAAACTTTGTTAAACCTAAAGGGTGCAACTGCTTTCTGAAACAAAGTGTCAGGGCAATATCTCCACCCTCCTCATGTATTTCAGCTTGGTTTCCAGCTCAACACCCCTGTGCCAAAGATCGTTAAGCCACATACACTTACTCCAGTCGTGTTTGCTCCATATCACATCATTGTCCAGAAACTTGCTAGGCCACTTCAGAAAGCCAGTTAAGAATCAACCATATTATTGTGGGTCTGGAGTCACATGTAGGCCAGACCGGGTAAGGACAGCAAGTCCTTCCATAAAGAACGTTAGCGAATAAGCCGGAGTTTTACAATAATTGACAATAGCTGCCATGGCCACTATTACTGAAACTAACTTTATATTTCAGAGTTATTAACTCAACTCTAGAGCATCAGGCATGCTTTGAATTGCTAGTCCAGTGAAATCACCACTGTGCGACTGTCTCAAGTTGGGTTACTCAATAACCATCTGTAATAGTTACAACTACATTAAAAAAATGCAATTATAAAACTTCTTTACCATTATGCACCTCCTTGGAACATTTCTTGAAGTGCAATCAGGCAAACAGATTTTAGAAGTCAATTGATAAAATGTCACTGCTAACACGTATTTAAATGTTAAGGGATGAACAGCAGAGAGTGGATAACAATATGTGAATTGAATTGGTGGGATATTGCCAGTGGCTGCCAAGGGATTGGTGCCTAGCTTTCTTTGTCACCCATTTATATAAATGGCAGAGAACTGAGCATGATATTAGCACCCAATTAATTCTTGATGTCGTGGTATGGAGTGACAACAAACTGGAGTGTTATGAGAGCCTTAGGTGAAATCAGGAAGGAGAACAACGACAGCCATCAAGTGGCAAGGTCTAAACTGAAAAATGACCAGTTGTACCATTTATGGAGAAAAGTAGAGGAACAGAGAGATCCATAATTGTAAGCAAGATCCTTACAGTCAGGAACACCGGCTAGAAAAAGAGGGAACTCGACTGCCAGGTTTCATTGCATAAATCACCCAGCACTGAAACAGACCATTCAAATGAACTGATCCCGGCACTGTGTGTTATCCACATGAGCCTCCTTCCCCTCTACTCCATCTCATCCTATCAACATATCCTTCTACTTGATTCGCCTTCAATATAACCAGTCTCCACTTACCTGTATCTATCCTATTTATCTCAACAGCTCCTTGGAGTGAGTTCCACATTCTCACTACTCTCCGCGTAACTATCAACTAAATCTGACACTCATTTTCTAAGGCGAGCATGATAAATTTGAGAACCAGATACCAGGGTATAAATCTAGCCATTCCTTCAGAGATAGAAATGGTGTTTGAATGGGCTATTAGCAGCTTCCTGATGGGTTATTGCTTACATCAGAGGAGAACGTCATTTTACACAGGAGCAGTGAAGATAAAAGCAAGGTGGTGATGTTGATACGCATATCACTTCCACTCAGATTCCAGGAAATAATTCAATACAAACGTATGAAAGACTTAAAACAATAATGTCACTGCAATTTCTAATGTATGACTCTCAAGAAATGAATGAATTTTTTTCTCACCTGATAAATAAAAGCACTCATCCTGGGACTGGCAGATAGCATAAGCAGGACATGAGGGAACAAGAGGAAATACCTCTCGCACTTCTCCTGAAAAGGAAAATCATTTGAAAATCATTATGCTTAAACAGCTTACTGGCTGCAACCACAGAATAGAAAAATGTGACTGACAGGATGAAACACTGCTGCAGGAATGATTTACACACAGGACCTCCCAATCAAACACCCTAACACTGGCCAAAACCCCTGAACAACAGTGGCAATGGACATTTGTTTTTAGGATTTCTGACAAGCTCCTGCCAGAGCGAAGGGGATGAATCCAGAGAATGGTAAGATGTAGCCATGGAATATTGGCAATGGTTCCCAAAAGATTGGTAGACCCCATGCAAGGTGGACAGAATGGTTCACATGACCAGGATGGTGTCCTGTGGACAGGATCAGGGTCAGGACCAATCCATGGCTTGGTACATTTCCATTGATTACAGGAGGCTGGTCCTGTAAATATCATCCAACTAATGTAAAGAAACTAAGTTTCAAAGATCCGCATGCATGAAAGTATTGGACAAAACAGAGAGGGAAAAATACCTCATTTCCACACTGCACAGTGACCTGCGACATGTAGATAACATTTCCCAGAGATTTAATATCTTCACCTTCCCAACCATGAACTGTTTCTGTCAAGATCTGCAGTTCCAGCTCCTTCTTCTTCCGCACTTCCTGACACTGGGACTTTAAGAAAAAAATAATGAACATACAGCTGTGCACCAAGCACATTCGAAAAATCAGAAAAAAAAAATTCTGCCTGGTTTATAATTGGCTACTGGAAATTGTAGAATAATTCCCAAAACCCATCTCTACAGTAGCCCTCAGTCTGCAGCGAGGAGCCCCGGGCTATCCACTGGTACTAATGGGCCTGTCACATTAGAAGCTTGGGTGCACGCCCAGCTTCTCAGCAAGCATTGGTTTCTGCCAGGATTGTTAAAGATTGGAATCTATCTTGGTATATGTCAACACAAGATGTGAAAGGCTGATGGATTCAGGCTTCATTAATTTCAATAATTCAGAACAAACAATATTGAGCAACTAGGGATTTCTGTAGTCAACTGCTCCATGTCTGAAGATCTGAGATCTCTCAATTCACTTCAAATTATTTAACAAAGCTCCAAAAAGAGGAACAGATTGCAGCATTTCACATTTGCGCACAAAGCAATCCATGTAAGTTTGAGGCAGACTTATGCTGAAAGTACAGCCATTTAATTGATGACACTATCGCCAAAGACAGTTATGGAATCCCTCAACATAATTCAATCTGAATGAAAAAGCAGGAGTTTATATTAACTTACTGAGAGATTTTTGAAAGCAGTCATGGACCTCTGAATGTCAGGCCAGTCTGGGTGATATTCCTACAGGTAAAAACACAAGTGGACACATAAGTAGTCTAGAATTTTTTTTAAAAATTTCATTCATGGGATGCAAAAATCAACAGTAAGATCAGCTTTTATTGCTCATCTTTAGTTGCCCTTGAGAAGGTGGTGGAGAACTACATCAGTCCATTTGCTGCAGGTAGACCCACAATGCCATCAGAAAAAGAATTCCAGAGTTTTGACCCAGTGACACTGAAGGAACAATGATATATTTCCCAGTCAGGATGGTGAGTGGCTTGGATGGGAACTTGCAGGGGGTGGTGTTCCTACCTATCTGCTGTCCTTGTCTTTCTGGATGGAAGAGGTCATGTGTTTGGAAGGTGTTATTTAAGGAGCCCTGGTAAATTGTCAAGCATGTCTTGCAATTGAACACACCGCTGCTACTGCGCATCAGTGATGGAAGGAATGAATGTTTGTGGATGTGATGCCAGTCAAGCAGGCTGCTTTGTTGTAGATGATCTCAAGCTTCTTCAATGTTATTGGAACTGCACTCATCCAGGCAAGAATAGAGCATTCCATCACACTCCTGACTTGTGTCTTGAACAGACTTTCGACGGTCAGGAGGCAAGGATTCCTAGCTTCTGACATGCTTTTGAAGTCACTGCATTTATATGGCTAATCTGGTTCAGTTTCTGGTCAATGACCAATCTCAGGATGTTGACAGTGTCAGATTCAGTGATGGTAACACCATTGAAAGTCAAACAGCAATGGTTAGATTCTCTCCTGTTGGAGACGGTCTTTGTGTGGGGCGAATGTTACTTGCCACCTATTGGCACAAGTCAAGATATTGCTCAAATGGTTGCATTTGGGCATGGACTGCTCTGGTATCCGAGGAGTCATAAATGGTTCTGAACATTGTGCAATCATCAGCAAAGATCCTACTTCTGACCTTATGAAGGGACACCTGCAGAGATGTCCTGGAGCTGAGACAACTGACCTCTAATCGCTACAATCATCTTCCTTTGTGCCAGTTATGATTCCAACCAACAGAGAGCTGGTGTTGTAGCTGTTCTTGAGCAGCTTGGCTAGGGCTGCAGCAAGTTCTGGAGCACACACCTTCAGTACCGTTTGCCAGAAGAGTATTGAACAGAACTGAATGTGGGGACTATCTATCTGATGGTTTCATTTGGCTGATCTCTCCACAACAAAACAAGCATAGTGAGCAGAAGGGCAGTTTATACTGATGTGATACAGAATAATAGAAAATATTAGACAAGTAGGTTCCAATTCATTGACCAGTTGTTTTGATTTATTTCTTCTCCAAACATTTAACGTCATCAACATCACCAAAATAACAGTAATTTTTGTAACATATAGATGGGGACGGCATGGTGACACAGTGGTTAGCATTGCTTCCTCACAGTGCCAGGGACCGGGTTCGATGCCAGCCTTGGGCGACTGTCTGTGCAGAGTTTGCACATTCTCTGTGTTTCCTTCGGTTGCTCCAGTTTCCTCCCACAGTCCAAAGATGTGCAGGTTAGGTGGACTGGCCATGCTAAATTGCCCATAGGGTCTAGGAATGTGCAGGCTAGTACATGGGAAATGCAGGGTCACAGGTATAGGATGGGGGTGTGTCTGTGCAGGATGCTCTTCGGAGGGTTGGTGTAGACTCAACGGGCCGAATGGCCTGCTTCCACACTGTAGGGATTCTATGAAACCAAAAGATATGCTGATGTTGGATAAGTATTTGAGAAGGAAGATTATATGAGAGAATACAAGAAAATCATTTCAAATTGACGCTAGCTCCAGATCTGAGACAATGGGTAAATGACCCCTGTCTGCACTGCACTGCATTGAACACTGCTGACACTAGCAGAACATGAAGTATATGCATCAGATGTGTTCACTACCCCAGGATGTTAAAATAGAAGCCCCCTTCATACCCAAATACATCGGACACATTTCAACTTGTTCTTGTGACAACACTTGCCAGAAACCAGGGGCTTTCATTGTTATTGAGGCCAATGAAATGACCAAATGAATGAGTGATAGAAACTGAAGCCAAAAGCAAAAAGGTTAGAACACACATCTTTGCACTGTCTAATAAACTTCTCAAGCAATTTCAAACTTATAATTCAAGTCGTTTGCCTATTCTATCAATAGATTCTTCAATGATTCAATGGGCTGGTCAAGTGTTTGTTTTAATGGCCAGTAAATAGAATTGACAATTAAGAGGATTGTTAACATGGTAATAAATTTGTCTATGATATATGAATATTGCTAATTAAGTAGATTGTCAATTATGTAATAAATTTATCAATGAACTACAAGAATCATCAACCTATTGTATTTGGGTCATGTGGCACAGTGCTACCAGGAGGCTGGGTTCAAGTCCCACTTGCTCCTGGCATAACGCGTCTGAGCGGATTGACTGAAAATACAACTAATGCACGTAAATGAGTATCGGGGTGAGCCAGACATGTTGGTCAAACTCTGCACCTGAATTCCAGGCATAGTGCCTTGTTACACAAAGCTTTGTCTGATCACTGAATTACAAAACCTATCCCTATATATGCTCCATAAACAAAGAGAACCCATTTAATAAAGAAAACATCTCATCAAAAACATTTATGCTCCCATCCTCTATTTTACATTTCTTTATACTTTCATTATACCTCCACAAGTAACAACACTCAGTCACAATGAATAGGTCAGTCTTTACAGATGGTTTGTAAAACCATCAATTGTTATAAAGTTTGACTGGTCAATGATGAGTCACATTACCTACATACTCGTATCAATTATTTGAAAGGATTGGGAAAATATAAAAACTAGCAGCATTTAAACTGACTGGGAACATTTTTTCAGCTATCCATTATTAGCATATGGAAATTCTGTACCTCCATATGGCGCTCCAGCTCTTTAAGCAACGTTGGGTATTTGTCCAGCCTCATGAATGGTTTGCTGAGGCTGGTGGTTAGCATAAGAATCCCAGGGCTGGTTGCTCCTTTCATTTCCATAAATTCTCCCAACTCCTCACTGAAGAAACATAAACATAGTCAAGACAGGGAGAAAAGAACAATACTGGGTCCATTACCTGGAAATTGTAAATTCTTTGACTCAGTGCTGTATTCTATCAAAAGGAAGATTTATAGAGGCGCTACCGATTAAGGCGTGCATTATGGATGGAGATCTGTTTGCTAGGAATATTTAGAAAAGTAGAAGGAATAAGCAGGGCAAACAATTTGTAGAGAAACCAAAGGTAAAGGTCCATGTGAGAAGTAGGCAATACACATTAAAAAAAATGACAAGAAGTACCTTTGTAAAGAATTATGGGGACATGGGATGCTTCAGCACAAGTGAAGACTAAAGATAAATCAATTACAGTATCAATTACTCAAAGTCTATGGGAACAGACAGGGAACTGGGGCCATAAAATCCACTCTTGACGCAGATTTAAATTCATTAGTCGGGCCAACAGTTTTGTTCCTGTGCTAAACTTCTGTCTTGATAAAGCCACCAATCTGACATTCCAGGTCAGGGTAATACAAATAAACATTGGTGCAGTTGGGAATTCATATCTATATTTATTTATTATCTGGAAAACATATCGAACAATATGAACACTTTCTAGATTTAAAACGATTTGAAGGGAACCCCAAGTGGTTTCTTGGAAATTTGGTCAGCAGTTTAATGTGGGCTGTAATCTACTTGCTATTTACAGAAAGTCAAATGACTCCAGAAAACAGCCAAATGAATTGTTTCGGGAGACAAAAGATGGGCATAATTGGAAGAAACAATGAAGTTCCAATACTGATGGCTGCCTAGAAACCCTTTCTGGACTTAGTTTCTATTTCACAAACCTAGGGAGTCGAAAGGAAAGAAACCTCTAAAGCTGCAGTAAGGCAGAAGTATCCCTCCCTTTCTTCAATAAAGCAGACGGGAACCCAAAAAAGTTTCCACACTTCAGTATCGTGACTACCTTGGAAAGGCAGAGAAGCTGTGCTGTGACTTCTGTCTGAAGACTTGGATCCAACTTGATTGCTATCCAAACTGAAGACTTGTTTGGAAGATCCAATGGCCACAACTATCAGCAATTTGATTTCATCAACAAGAAGTCCTGCGGACTGTGATAATTCATCAAATTTTATCCTTTGTTTTGAGGCCCATCGATCGATAAGGGCGTTTTCAAAATATCATCTCGGCAGAATCTTTCATCTCTACAGATCTCTTTTGTGTTGAGTGAGTGTGTCTAATTTTGCATTAAAAGGGGATATAATTCCAATTCTGGATTGTAGCTTAGATGACAACAGTTTTGCCACTTGTTTTTAGAAATGCTTTTTGTTTTATGATAACCAGATTACTTTGAGTTCATTGAAGCAATCTGGCAAAAGTTTCTTTGATACTGGATAGCAGTACCAAAAGGGAAACAATTGGCCATTTTGATGATTGAATCAAAACATTTATACCAGTGCTAAAACTCATGGAGTCATGGGGCTTGATTATCAACGCTTTCTGCTCATCGCAGTGATTGACAGCACACACACCCCATAAGCAACATGTGTGGCACAGCTGGGTATGCGCATTACACCAGCTATACCCAGGGGTAATTGGAGTGTAAAATTGGAATAGTTATCCCCAATGTTGCCTAATCCTGTGCACATTTTGGTACCTCTGTTCTATGCAGTGTCTATTGCCCTGGATACAGGAATTTGTCATATACCTGTACTCTGTGAGGACATGCACAGCCCAGGGGTGATTGGCACAGTACGCGAGATAAAGGCTTTTCATTTGAGACATTAAGTTCCCAAAACATCCTCCAACCTTCTGCTGGGACTCTGGCAACCTGTGCACACAAAGAAACAGGCATAAAGCAGGCATACAATTATTTTACAAGTATTTCTAATAAATTTCTAATGATCAAATAATTATTTAAAATTTGTAGACATCATTCAAACCAATTTAAGGAAAGCATCATTCCAACATCAACGTGACTTCAATCACTTTAAGGAATGTAGACATTACTGGCAGTGTCAGCACTTATCATTGCACTTGTGATGATGATGTAGGAACACCCATACTGCTATGAGAGAGGATTCCAAGATTTGGACCCAGCAATGGTGTAGCAAAGATAATACACTTGCAAATTCAAATGATGTGCAACTAGGAGGCAACTGCTAACATACGTGTTGCACTGTGATCACATCACAATGATTGCCCTCAATACCATCCCTAGGAATCTAAATTGAACCCAAATCAATCTCACATGCAACTTACACTCGGCTTACTCACTTAACACAATCATTTATTCACCAAGAAACTTCAATGTCAACATTGAACATGTCAACAAGCAGCACACAGCGAGGGTCAGGGCCAAGAGAGTGCTGCAAAGGAGGGGGGTCAGGACCGAGAGAGTTCCACACGGTCAGAACCGAGAGAGTATCTCTCGGTCTGAGGGTCAGGACAGTGACAGTACCACCTGATTAGAGGAACAGGACCAAGAAGGTACCACACTATCTGAGGGTCAGTACTGAGGGAGTGTTGTATTGTCAGAGGGTCAGGATTGATGGAGAACATTAGTAATGGGAGTGCTATAGTGTCACAGTGTGACAACTGAGGCAGTGATGCACAGTTGAAGGGTCAGTACTGAGTCAGTGGAAGGTCAGTACTTAGGGTGAACTGCACCGTTGCAGGCTTAGTGCTGAGATAATGCTGAATTTTCACAAGAGCCACCTTTTTGATGGGACTATAAACAGAGGCCACTTCTTTGCTCTCGGGTGATGTCATACATGATGTCATGGCACTTTTCATAGAGAAATCATGGGATTCTCCATTTTAACCTGGCCAATATTTATCCCTCAAAAAATAGTGTAAGATCAAAGCAGAAACAGATATAGCTGGAAAAACTCAGCAGATCTGGCAACTTCTGTGGTGAGAAAACTGAGTTCATGTTTCAGGTCCAGTGGCCTTTCTCCAGAACTGGGTCGGTTCTGATGAAGGGTCATTGGATCCAAAACGTTAACTCTATTTTCTCACCACCGATACTGTCAAACCTGCTGAGTTTCTCCAGCTATTTCTCTTTTTGTTTCAGATTTCCAGCGTTTGCTTTTGTTCTTTGTTCTTGTTTTGTTTACAAAATCAACGTATTTGTCTATTTATTTCTCTTTCTTGCTTATGGAACTTGCCACACTCAGTGCCGGTTTCAACAGACTGCAACAGTGACTACACTTCAAAAGTACTTTATTCATTGTAAAGCATTTGGGACATCTAAAGATCATGAAATATGCTATGGAAATGTAAATTAGAGGAAAAAAAGCATATGTTTGCTGAAACTGTATTTTCTTTTCTGCATCTCACATACATTGAAATATATAGCAATCAGAGTCCTCCAATAGGCTGACACTCCCTCTCAGAATTACTTACTTGGTGCATTCTTCTAAAGACTGAACTAGGATTTGTTGGAAAGAACAAATATCTTCCAGGTTGCCCATCAAATATCCCATGTCAGTAGAACTTAACCTGCAAACAGACAAAATATTGATTTTAAATCAGCATATCTGACACACAGACACACATCATCACCTGTATGCATTCTGTTCAATTTGTTCTCATTATGTGGGTGTCACCAACGAGGTCTCCATTTATTACCTATCCCCAACTAGCCCGAGTCCTGGTTTGTAATGGTTAAACGGCTTGCTACACAACTTCAGAGTTAACAACATAGGTGTGGTACTGGAGTCACATATAGGCCCGGACAGGGTAAGCAAGTCAAGATTCTAACCCTGAAGGACATTTATTAACCTATTGGGTTTTTACGATCATCCTCTGGCTTCACATTGCTTATTAGACATCAATCCCAGATGAACCACAATTTCCTCTAACACTGGGAAAACTGAAGACGACATCTCCATTGCTTGTCACAAAGATGCACCTTTTCCGCCACAAAGACCATATACTCTACCTTCTTAATTCACCGTTCTCCAAACTTACTTCAGCCAATTTGTTGAAACTATGCTTTTGTTACCTCCACACTCATGTCTCCTGGCTGGCATCAAACCTTACATTTAAATAATCGTTCATCCAAAACTCTCTAGTCCATATTTTAAGTTGCACCTAGTTCAATTCACCCAACACCCTGTGCTCTTGACCTACACTCTGTCCCACTGTAGACTTCCAAGCCCCAGATACACTGTAAAAAATGTGTAGGGAAACATAGTTATGACGCAAGTGAGGATCTTATAGAAAACAGCGTGCTTAAATTTAGCATTAAAAAAAAGCATTGAAAGCAAAGTCACAGAAATTGGTCTCACTTATCACTGGCTTGCAGAGGTCGCAAGAAGGTTGACAGAAGTATCGTTAGCTCCTCTGCATAATCGCATTCTATTTCCAGAATATTCTGCAGCACCTGCAGAAAAATAAAGTTTCAGGACAAACACAATAAAAACTGAGAAGCAGTAAAAAAATTTTTTCCACTATGAAATACTGAGAATAAAGGAGGGCCAAATGGCGAGAAGGAGCACAAACTGTTGCTCCTATTGCCCTTCCACAGCTCATATGGATGCACTCTGGATTTGAGAGTCAGATGGGACAGGCCCAGCAGATCGGTTCCATGCTTTGGGGCCAGGAAAATCAGGATTGATAGGTCAGAGTGACTAGGTCACTGTACCACAATGGCGAGATGGCACCTCAAACTCATTCCAGGTTCCCAACTCTTTTCCTTTGGCATTCTTTATCAACTTCTCTTTCAATTTGATAGTAGCTAGTGAAACTTATTGATCATTCAGGAATTCCAATTCCCTAGCCTGTTCTATGGTCCTTGATTTTTGTCAAGTTATAACATCCACATAGCCTCCTATCTCACACTGTACTCCTTCTATAGTATCTCCCCGGCTCCTATGATCCAAGTTCCTTTCACTAGGCTGTGTCCTTTTCCTAGGGCCACATTCAATTCCGGGTCCACTTTCAGAATTTATATTGCATGTTCTACTCTCTACATGTTTAGTGACTTTTGCCAATCCGTTGATCTTAGCATCTGATCCTCATCCTGTATATTTAGACAATATTTTTCTCTGTTGTCCCTGCAATGGGAACATCCCTCCATTCACTGGCTCCTTCTGGTATATATGTGACTCTAGTGCCAACGTTTGGTAGTTCTCCTTTGGGACAAATTGTCTTACTCCATTCTCAGTATTAGTGTGTCTATATTCAAACAGTCATTTGTCTGCGGTAATCTGTTCCTTGTAGTTGTCCAATATATGTAGATATGAGAAGCGCATGGTGCCCCATTATTTTCTATTACTTGTTCAGATTCTTTAGACATATAAGTGCCAATTAATGTCAAATTATGTATTCTAACAGTTCACTTCCCACGTTGTAAATTACTGCCTTTCTATCACTACCTATGACCTCATCTGGCCTTTCTCTTTTGTAATGTACCAAGTCTCCGAATTAAAATTTATCTTCAATGCTCTCATGCAAGTCCCTGAATTAAAGTCTATTTTCAATGCCCTCATGTGATGGGATAAGGCTCACTGAATTCTCTCTGAAGCATCAGCCTTAATTGAATACCTTTACTGTATGCAGAGCATTGAGGCATTCAGAAAGAAATGGATCTAATTGTAGTGTCTTCCCCAGCCAGGGGTGATCATTCGTTACTTTCGGAATCTTTGGATTTCTCCCAAAGCTAACTGATATGGACTGTAGCCCTCATGCATTTACAGTGAATTATTTGCAGGGACTGCCTACACAGAACAGAGGTTAGTCAAAAACTTCAATGGTTCACCAAGATTTTATCACACAATCAGAATAGCCAAGATGCAGAAGGTGGCAATTCGGCCCACTTATAGAGCTTTCCATCTATTATTACATGATTTCTTCCACAAAGTTAATTACTTAGAGGGACTGTTGCTCCGCTGTGTTCATTACCATAGTGTTCATCTTCTGCTTCATCATGAACAAGTTTCACCTCAAGCTGACTGCACACTCCCATTGTCAGACAGGAACTTAGCCAGTGCCCACAGTCCAGTCACGATCCATTTCTCCATTATATTATTCACAATGACTTAGAGTCACAGAGTCATAAAGCACAGAAACAGGCCCTTCAGTCTATGTGGACCAATAAATACCAAGCTACACTAATCCCATTTATCCGTACTTGATCCATAGTCTATGCCCTAGCATTTTAAACAGTTATCCAGATGCTTCTTAAAATGTTGTGGATGTACTTGCCTCCACCTTCCTCTCACACAGCACGTTCCTTATATCTACCACCCTCTGGGTGAAGAGGATTTTGCTCAGATTTCCTCTAAACCACTTACTTGTCACCTTAAATTTACGTCCTCTGATCTTAGGAATGTCTGCCATGGGAAAGAGTTTCTCATGGTCCATTCTGGGTATGCCTCTTATAATTTTGTATACCTCAAGCAGATCCCCTCAGCCTCCTCTGTCCAAGGAAAACAAAGCCAGCCTTTCCACTCTCTTCTCATAACCAAGGCTGTTCAACCCAGGCAACATCCTAGTGAATTTTCTTAGCACCCTTTCCAGTGCAATCATGTCCTTCCAATAGGGAGTGACCAGAACTGCATACAGTATTCCATCTGTGGCCTAAGCAGTGTTTTATAAAGTTGTAATTTGGCTTCCTTACTCCTATGTTCTATGCCTCAGCTAATAAAGGCAAGCATTCCATATGCCTTCTTCAACATCCTGTCTACCTACAGGGACCTACGCACTTACTTTTCTTTACTACATACTATTGTATATTGCCTAGATCTAATTGCCATGTGTACAAAGGGCAAGATAACTTTTCTTATCCGGAGATTATTTTCTCCCAGAAATCTTTTTCAATGTTTCTGGAAACTGTTCCAAACATGCGTTTTAACACCAGTTAATAGTGTAATTTGATCCACAGAAAATGCTCAATCCAACAATTTAAAAACAGGCTTGGAATTTTTCCAATTTTGCACACAGTCTGGTAAATCTCGTTGAATATTCTTCCACAGAAAATCCAGCTTGCTTTCTAATGTTTTCATCCGTAAACTTCAGTAGAATTTCCAAACATTCTTCAGTGACCAATCATTGAACCTTTAACTCTGAGAATACTTTACAACTTGTTTTGCTTCTAGTCAGAAGCAACAGTGTCAATGTAATTTGTTGCTTTATTTTTCCAGGTAAAGATATAACCCATGTCCATAAACCCACTTGATTCTTCAATACATCCGTAAGGTTTAGTTTCACAAAACATGGTTGGGAAGCCTTATCGTGACACTTTGCACTTGGTTTCAGCCATTTTTCTCCAAAGTAACTCCAATTCCAATTTTCTGTCTGAAAGGAATCTTTGTTTCCAATCTCCAGCTTTAGACAACAATCCTCTACTCTAATTGTTAATAGAACAGATTCCAAGCCAGTCTGGCAGATTGTAATCAAGACGTTTATGTATTTTCTTTGGGGACGGTGTCTTGATTTCCTCAGTCTTACCCCTCTCATTCTACACCAACTGTCCTAGGTGTTCCATTCTGCGCTCAGATAATTAATCACGACCATATGTTCCTTTTTAACCTTGAATAAAAGCATTCACAAGTGCAACAATGAGATGAACCATATTTTAACACTTAATGGCCAAAGGGAGTGGGTCTCCGTCCTGCCAGACATAAAATGTCTTCAGCACCCAGCAATTCATGGTGCATCTTCCCATTCAGGGAAGGTGGTTGCATTGCCTCAAGTCCTGAACATTGTAACAGAAGGCGCAAAGACGATGGAGCACGGGCCGGGCATATATGATTGCTCAATCCTGTCTCAACTCAAGGAGCCACTGAAATAAACAGCATTGTGAGAACATGCTCAAACCCAAACCTCAAAATGTGGTGATAGAATGACTTGCATTTCTATAGCACCTTTTACAACCTCAGGACATCCCAAAGAACTTTACAGGATATCTTTCTATTCTTTTCTCCTTAACGTGTTTAACCAAATTCCTCAATATTAATTATAATGTAATATTCCAACAATATTATTTGACTTAACCACTCCCCGTGGTAGTGATTCTCATCACTTTGATAAACAAGTTTCCCTCAAATTCTACACTGGATTCATAAGTGACTATTTTATATATACAGTCTCTGGATCTGGTTTCACCTATAAATATTTACTTTATTTTTACCTGATTGACACCCTTTCTTAATCTCAGATCAGATCACCCCTCATGACTTCCCTTTTCTAAAGGGAAAGGACCCACACTATTCCATTTTTGTTGATAAAATGTTATAGAACTGAAATTTTAAAAATAATTTTTCCATTAAGTCTTTATTAAACGACAAATGAGTGGCTCACTGTGATCAGTACGGACCATATGCCTATTGAGCCTACAAGGTGCAGAGCTGGATGAACACAGCAGGCCAAGCAGCATCATAGGAGCAGAAAGGCTGACGTTTCGGGCCGAGACCCTTCATCAGAAATGGGGGAGGGGAAGGGGGTTCTGAAATAAATAGGGAGAGAGGGGGAGGCGGATAGAAGATGGATAGAGGAGAGGATAGGTGGAGAGGAAACAGACAGGTCGAAGAGGCGGGGATGGAGCCAGTAAAGGTGAGTGCAGGTGGGCAGTTAGGGAGGGGATAGGTCAGTCCAGGGAGGACGGACAGGTCAAGGGGGCAGGATGAGGTTAGTAGGTAGGAGATGGGGGTGCGACTTGAGGTGGGAGGAGAGGATAGGTGGGAAGAAGAACAGGTTAGGGAGGCGGGGACGAGCTGGACTGGTTTTGGGATGCGGTAGGAGGAGGGGAGATTTTGAAGCTTGTGAAATCCACATTGATACCATTGGGCTGCAGGGTTCCCAAGCGGAATATGAGTTGCTGTTCCTGCAACCTTCGGGTGGCATCGTGGTGGCACTGCAGGAGGCCCAGGATGGACATGTCGTCTGAGGAATGGGAGGGGGAGTTGAAATGGTTCGCGAAAGGGAGGTGCAGTTGTTTATTGCGAACCGAGCGTAGGTGTTCTGCAAAGCGGTCCCCGAGCCTCCGCTTGGTTTTCCCAATGTAGAGGAGGCCACAACGGGTACAGCAGATACAGTATACCACATTGGCAGATGTGCAGGTGAACATCTGCTTGATGTGGAAAGTCTTCTTGGGGCTTG